ATGGCAGTGTTCCCCGCCGGACCTCAACCGCAAGTGCAGGATGGCAGCGCCCCGGCCGGACCTAACCGCAAGTGCAAGATGGCAGCGCTCCCCGCCGGACCTCAACCGCAAGTGCAGGATGGCAGTGTTCCCCGCCGGACCTCAACCGCGAGTTCCATCACAAACACACAGCCACAAACGCATCCACAAGCACATAACCACAAACACACAGCCACAGCACACGGCCACAACCACAAAGACACAACCACAGCACACAGCCGGAGGACCCACAAGCACAGACATACCTCACGACCAGGGCAGCATCACCATGGCATGAAGACAAGCAATTGAAATGTCATGGCGGGGATCACTCGAATTAGAGTATTTTTTAGCACTTGGGCAGAACTCATGAGATTTGGTAGCTTTTCAGCAACAACATCAAAGTTCAGATACATAGTACGTCCAGCATGTTTTGCTGTCAAAGCAAGCACTCTGAGGTGGGCTGGACAATGGATGGATGGACTGGATACCTTTTGACACCCCAAAACACCGGCAACCCAATTGCAGCCAAATCCACGCCTTACGATGCCCACGTTTTCCCGTGTCATGTTTTTTCAATAACAAGATCCGCTTTTTGAGCAGCCATCACCAACACGAACTCACTCATTCACAGCCAGATGCATCACCTAGAGTCTAGAACTCTAATCAACTCGGAGGCTGCCTCCGACTTTATGGAACACACCATCCAACTAATTATTAATGAAAATTCAAACAATATTTCAGGGTACTCTTCAGGCTCTGTAGCAGCTTGTATCACAGAAAGTGAACCTTCACGCAGGAACTGCACTCTTCAACCACGAAGCAGATCGGCCCACCTTTATGTTTGCTTAATCCAAACATATAGCCCATCACTCGAGGGGTGGAGGAGTTGTCTTTCTCGAGAAGGTCAGCCTTGACTCTTGACCCACTCCAGAAGTGCGATTTTGAAAGTACCTCTCTTGGTGCCACATGGTATTTGAACTTCAACGATAATTTTGGGGAGATCTGCTTGGGCCATGGGTTCTTGGTTTTGGATCCAAAGAAAAGCACACCTGGGTCAAGACGGTAGACGAGGTCCACCAAACCTGTGTTGGTGGACCCTGGTCTTCAGACTCCAAAACCACGACCGGCCATGACCGCGGCAAGAGCACGCGTCCTGTCATAGTCTCCACCCAGCCGCCCTCTTGAGGTTTGCCTCTATGGCGCTCTGTGCCTGGGATGTTCAGCAGTTTTGTGGATACGTCAACGGGAAGACGCAGGGTTTGGACACATGATGAAGCCGGATACTTGCTTCGGAAGATGACAGATGTGCTTTAGCAGTTTTTAGCAGTTTCAGTTTTGTTGGGTGATGTGTAGGGCGATGTGATGTTTTGATGGATTTGAAGATCGGTGAGCATAAGAAGATAACCAGCGGCGTATTGGATCCGCTGCGCCGCCACCAGGGTTCAGCACGGCAGTGGGCCGTTGGTCTCATCAGACATGACGTGGATGGCCAACATGCGGATTGGTGCACGTTTCATTGGGCAAAGGACAGGAGTGAACCAGATTCTTTTCCTTTCCTGCACTAGTGAGGGGTTCACCATTCTAAGGAGCCCCAAATTCCCTGGTGCGACGGGTGCCTGATATGACTGTGTGATACTAGTAGACGAGTATAATACGATGGCCGTTTTTCAACCGCCAAATCACAAACCGCATCGGGCCCAGGCGTCTCATCCTTGTTCTTCGTGTCTGGAGGGCTACAGTTCTGGGCCATGCCGTACATGGAGCAGTTGCTTGGCTCAGCATGACACTCACAACACTTACATTTGCCACACCTGAAGTCTTTTGGACACTCGCTTTGACAGATAGGTTTACCCGATACTGTTTAATGCAAAACGATCGAAACAGATGTGGAGGACTCTATATATCTTCTTAATTCTTCTTAAACCTTCCCTTTCCAAGGTCCCCGCTGTGGCTTTTGATATCTTTTGATATATTTGAGTGGCTCGCTTCTGTTTTCGCTGCATTGGAATTAGGAACTGGCACAAAGGCTGAGATTCAGGAGTCCTTATTTGTTCGTTCGCCTCGTTTTCTTGACTCGCATGCGTTTTGTTGACAGGACTCTGATGGCGTCACTCGACTTTTTTGGTGATTGGTGAGGAACACGTGTGACTGTGAGATGCACTCGGTTATTCATGATACACCCAGGCAGTTCAAAGAGAACATAGAAACATAGATTTCACTGTGGGTCAAAGCCAACTCGCCTCGAAGTGTATGCATATCCCCAAGTCAAGCAATAGTTCTGGTTTTGAAGCTCCAAAGAGATTTCGTTTAGGAAAGCCGTTTGGAGTCACTCCCAGCCTAGCACGGGTGGCTTCCAAGCCCCAAAGAGGCGGTCTTAAGCTGGTCTCAAACTGGCTGACGCATATGGACCCAGGACCGAAATTGCGTGAGGGTCGTTTGGCTTGCGACCAGGCTTCGGTTGAGGGAGGCAATGACCTGCTCGGTGGAGGAAGCCAACGGGGCCGCTCGGTATGCTGCAGCGGGCGTTGGGCCAAGGAAGTCATGATCCCCAAGCAGGGACTGCTATCCAAGGTGTGCGGGGAGTGCCGGCCACTTGCTACTCTGGCCCCTCCAGGATATGCTTTGATCGATGTATCTACAATACTCCAGGCTCTCCCGGCTGCTCAATGCTTTGACTACTTTCACCTCCTCCTTTGCCGGTGCGGTCCAACTGTGCCGACTCCATACCGGCCGGTCTCGACCCAACGGTTTTTCGAGCGACGAGGTGCACTCACTGGTGGTCACTCTCGTGGGTGCCACGACCTTGACGGCACCCACCTTCGGAGTCTTCGTGGGTAGCCAACTTGTGGACCGTGTGGGCGGCGCCTGGGCGATCACGGGGAGCACATGGGGGCACTTTGTGCGAGAGAGGTCTGCTGCTTAAGGTTTTTGAGAAACGCATCATGTTTCAGTGGCCCCAATTCCATTCTTGTTTTGCAGACATGTCCTTCTCGTTGCTTGACTGTGTGACCTGGAAAGGCTCTGAAGATGCCTTAGTTATTCAGGATGCCTTTACTTCCTAGAACTTTGAAGGCATTTGCCAGAGCCACGATTCCACTTTGATTGTTCAAATGTTGTTTGTCAATTTAAAAGCACATTATAATATGTATAAATATAATATATATATATGTACTTGCTCCATGCCCAAGTCAATGGAGCAGAACTTTTTTACTGGCTAACCCCCCGGATTTGCATGACTGTTCTTGGTGTCAGATGCTGAAAATGGAGGGTATCGATCAGGACCAGAGGGCCCCCAAACGAGACAGAACCCAAGGCTATCATCACTCGCTTATCCAGGTCATTCCCACCAATGCAAGCTAAATGCTGATCCTCCTACTCATCGTACCAACCAACCCAACCCAACCCAACCCACCCACCAACCGTAGCCGAAAAGCCACGTAGATTGCTGCTAGTCTGCTAGTCACCGAGGCTACAAGAAAGCTGCGCGCTCCACCGCAAAGCTCTTGGCCGGCGGTGCTCGGACAAGGAAGCGTTAAGCAAAGCTGAAGAGCTGGGAGGACCTTGTCTCGAACACGAGGAAGTACCGTGACATTCTCGAAAAACCCTTGTGGGTCTCGAAATACCTAATGGATCCTGAGGGTAGAGACCCCATAGCCATCGAAAAAAGGGGTCTCTGCTTCCTAGGTGGTGGAGGTCAGTAGCTGGGTGTCTGCATTGCGAGAGGGATCAGCGTCTTCCGCTCCAACCGCTCCATCCGCTCCAACCGCTCCATCCGCACCATCCGCTCCATCCGCACCATCCGCTCCATCCGCTCCATCTGCACCATCCGCTCCATCCGCACCATCCGCTCCATCTGCACGATCCGCTCCATCCGCTCCATCCGCTCCATCCGCTCCATCCGCACCATCTGCTCCATGCGCTCCATCCGCTCCATCGTGCAACGTCGTTGCACTTCTTCAGGAAACCGCAGCCACTTCCAAGGAGGATAACCGCACTCAAGAGTGTCATTCGAAACTCCCAGGCCGGAAGCGCCAGACCACCTTAACGTCTAATTCTTTCTGATGCCTGAGACTGGCGGTCCGAACTCCCAACCTTGCAATTTTTGAAATATTTCCATGTTTCTAAAGTAGAAGGGTCCATGGAAGGTTCTTTGTCGCCCCGTGACTCGTGTGCTGAAGCGATGCTATGGATCAATATTTGGGAGAGCGAGGTTTTGGATTGATGTTTCAGGTTTTCGGCATCGTACACTGCCTCGGTGCCTTTAATTAGAACGTCAAGAAACGGGCAGAAGCTACAGGAGAAAGAAGCATCCATGGAATGCGTCGCCATTGCTAGTACTGTAGGTTCCGTTTGTTTTTATAGATTGAGCAATTGTGTAAGAGATGGGTCAAGGGGACGCAGTTCCTGAAGAGGTGTGACTCAGTGGGGAGCATACATGGCAATGACTCAGTGTGACTTAGTGACTAATATTGGAAAGGACACTGGATTCGTTCGTTTTTGACTTTTCGACTTTTCGGATTTTTTGACTTGGGCCCGAGACACAAAATGAACTTTTCAACTTTTCGGATTTTTTGTTTCTTTTCCTTTTCGAACGTGTCCGAAAGCCAAAATCAATTTTTGGAGCTTTCGACTTTTCGACTTTTCGCGCTCCCAACGGACATTTTCATTCGAATCAGGAACTAGAATTTACTAACGCTGTGACCTGAAAGGTCTTGGTCGGTACGTGGGATTGACTGCTTAAGCGCAAGGCTTACACCGTTCTCACCGGTAGACCAGCGCGCCGGTAGAAAAGGTTGAAGTAGCTTGGGCTGCTGCTTGCAGCTGTCAATTGTATATGTGTCATCTTCGTACTCTAACTCAGCGACCCAATCCCTCCGCCCCAGCTTCTTGCGTTTTTCAACGCGTCAACCTTGAGGGGGTTGTTGTTCTGTCCAACGATCGAGTGCACGCCCGCAGCGCTGGTCCTCTGGCGCTCGAGGGCACGCCGAGCGTCACGTGTGAAAGGCTGTCAGAGGCACCGCAAGCGGCGCAGAAAGCGCAGGTGGCGTAAGTGGCGCGGGCGGCGCAAGCGGCGCAAACGGCGCAGGCGGCGCAGGCGGCGCAGGCGGCGCAAACGGCGCAAGCGGCGCAAGCGGCGCAGGTGGCGCAGACGGCGCAGACGGCGCAGACGGCGCAGGCGGTGCAGACGGCGCAGGCGGCGCAGAAGATGCAATCGGCGCAAGCGGCGCAGGTGGCGCAAACGGCGCAGGCGGCGCAGGTGGCGCAAGCGGCGCAACCACATGCGCAGACACGCTTTCCGCTCGCAGTGGGTTTCTGTCTCAAGCACATGTCGTGTATCATTCACTTTCAGAGCCACACACACACACTCCGCCACACCGAGACCGACACCGAGACCTCCCAAACCACCTCCTGTCTCACGCAGCCACCTCAGTTCGTCGGGCTTGGTGTGTCCGACCTTTAGTCGAACACCATGGCCCACCGAACACGAAAGAAACCCGAAGGGCCCATGGGATGCGGATATATGCTACTAGTAGCTTCTTGCTACTAATGGTAATACCCTTGTTACTAGTAGCGATGCCCTTGTTACTTTAGTAGCTTCTTGCTACTAAGGTGCGGGTTTGGCGATGCTGTTCGGACTCGTGGCCTGCTTCTGTCCCAACTTCTGGTTGGCCGTCGCTGCCTTTTGGGTGCGGAGTCCCGGCAGCGGCCAGGCAAGTGCCGTAAATGTGAGATTGGAGACAGCGGAAAAAACACAGTTCTGGTTTACTGTAGTTGGTTCTCTGAAATGTTTTTTAGTTCACATAGAATAGTTGGGATCCAGCAAGTCTTAAGCCCTTTTCGCATTCTTCTTCATGTTTGGTCTGCAGGACGCCAGGATCCTCAACAATCGTTGTTTCAATTGTATTTACGTATCTGGCGGTGGTTGTATTTTTTGAACACAACTGGGGCACTTCATTGGGCACTGGGACGCGGAACCGTGACGCCTTTCGCAGCACAGCGCTCCGCCATGCAGCACACCTCGGAGATGAGGTCTTCAACATGTTAGGTGCCGCCTTGATGCCGGGCGCCTTTGGACTCATGCGGCTTGGCACCAGCCTGGATGCGGGTGTGTGTGTGTGTAACCCTTGGAGTCATAGGGATCCTTTTGGATTTTAATTTGGTTTATCGCAGGGGGTAGCGGCAGATCATTTGGGACCGCTACCAACGAAGACGCCCATTTGATCTGGTGATATCGGAGTTGGCCACTCCGACGTACCTGCAATTTTCCATTTCTTCGAATGGCGAGAGGCTAAGCCAAGAACCTCCCTGACCTGAATTTCTTGTTGCTGCAGACTTGCACGGAACGCCGTCAGCTTGTCGTCTCGTCGGTCGTGGCCTTAAACTACAGGAACTCTGGTCCCCTTCACCTGGTTTTTCAGGATTTGGGTCTCTTAGGCCGGCGTGTGGCACCGCATTCAGTTCAGTACACAATATCTCAAGTGTGTTTGGCTTCGTGCCAACCCGGGATGAGCCCGCAGAGTGCCTCCCGTGGACCCGTCGAACGGGTGTATGTCTTTCTCTCCCTTGCTTTGGAGAGGTAGGTGTCCGGAGCGGACAGCAGGTGGCCTCGGCCGTACGTCCGATGATTTTTGTCCCATCTTTGGAATTCCAAGTTGGCTCCCCTGCCGTTCCTTCGCCATTTTTGACCTGGGAACTGAGTTAACTGAAAACCAATGTCAGAGTGTGTCTCGCTCAGCCGTCCCACTCGGGTGCTGAGTGTGATCCTCCGCAAGGAGGCGCCGTTTCATTGGGAAATCACTAACGGAGCTTACCACCGCTCACTGGATTTCACTGGAATTCACCTCCACTTCAACTGAATTCACTGCTTCCACGGCCGCCGGGCCAAAACACGAGACCTTTCGCTTTACAGAGTTTGCACCGTTTTGCATTGTTTTTGCGAATTTTCCTCAAGCAGGCGCCTTGACTCTTTCCGAGCAGTTTAATTCGACGCGCATGAACTCACCACAACACTACATTCCTCCACACCATCAAGCACAAGCAGAACAAGCACAAACACAACGTCCATCACATCCTCCAGCACGGCAACAAGCACGA